TGGTCGAAATTTCCGGAGCCCTCCACTACGGCATCTCTCATATTCATATGGTGGTTTTGGGACGTTAAATCTCACATATCTATCTTGCGCTGAAGTGTACAATTGCAAGTATAGATATGTCTGCTACAAGCTTGTGTTAAACCAACAGTTCCCAGGAACTGGTCTTGTATGGACTCCCTCTTCCCTCCTTTTTTTTCGTCTAAATACCATGCTGGTTGAGCGCAACTATAGCACAACCCACCCTTTGTTCCTTTCTGTGCAAATATACAAATAAAAACGTAGTATAGCTTGATTTGAAAGAGCGGTAGATCGCTAAAAACAAACTCAGGAAAGGCATCCTTCGTTGTCAGACATGTGCATGTGTTGAGGCCATCGTAGTTTACGAAGCAGCGTTATAATAAAAACTTGTTTTCTTCTTCACAAAGCATTGAAAATTTCTGGATTAGAACCATAGGCACTCACAGGGTTCGTCATAGAGGGGGTGGGGGGTGAAATTATATCGCAATGCAATCCCACGAAGCGAATGTGTCGGGCTGACTTAAACCCACCTCCTTTTTCTGGGCGACTAGAGGAATGGCCTCCTCTCCACAGCCTTCCCCTTCCCCTCAGGGAGGCCCATGCCTACAACACGTTCATAGTGCTTTTTATTTCATCACATTGATTACTGTGATCAATTCGGATGATTCTCGTTATTTTATTATATAGAAGGAAGAAGAGACTTCATACCAAATACCACAGAACCGTGGCCGAAGGCCCAAGAGATATACATTTATGCAACGTAATGACCAAAGAAACTAAACCAAGTTAACGGGCAATAATTGAAATACACTGGTCATACTGGTGTAACGTTATGCATAAGAAGTAAATGAAATGATAGAAAATAGAAAGCTGCAACAAAAAGTACTCAGCTGATTTAAACATACACTGGGAAATAAAAACAATAGATCTGTACACTTTCCTGAAAAACATTTTTTATGCTTTTTAGGCGCTAGGGTAAGTAGGCGACTATAGCCTATTTCATATTTGTTCAAAGCTATTAGCAGGAGCAATCGCAGGGTTTGACTTCCGTAGCCGGCTCCTCTACGGGGAAGAGTCCACTAATTGGTAATTAATCAGTACAAACAGTTTTGTTTTCAAGGGTTTAGCTAGCTGAAAATATCTAGGACTCTATTACGAGAGGTGGTGAAAACCGAAAGTAATACAGTGGCTGATGTTCGAAGGTAGTAGTCACGCGGATAATAATATATCTAAGAAAAAAAAAAAACTCTAGTACTTTGTAACCAATGCCGGCAATATATCTCCCAGCCTTCTTTTGCAGAAGAAAAAGTCTCTTAAGATTAGATCCTGATATTGTGCCCAAAGCCAAATCGCAGTAGGTGTTTTGTGTGCGATTGAATCACAGCATGATAGATTAGTAGCTTAAAGTGATTTGGGAGGTAAAAACGACTACTGAAAGGAAAAAAAAATGTCCAATCCAATTTGTTTTGAACGTAAGCTACGCATTTGTTCATCTCATTGACAAAGGAAATACTACATCAAGTGGTTTAAAAAAATCTGTTTTGTCTATTGGATTTTTCAAAGTTTTAGATGTTTTGTAGGGGCAACCACTATATTTATTGGCGGAAAACAAATAGCTCTAATGTTTTTTTGCAATTTATATGCCATACTTTTTTAATCTCCCTTTCATTGAACGCTTTAAGCACAACATTGCCTCTCCATACAAGCTTGACGTGGATGAGACCACTGAGAAATATGTTTGTATTGTCGCAATAAGGAATGTACTGTGGGTCACATAAAATGTTGATTCTGTGAATCATACAGAAAATAATAGAACTGAGTAAGCTACTTCAGATAACACCACATTTTATTTCCCCAACTGCCGATAACTGACCATCAACAGCAACTGCTCTAGAAGAATGGTAACTAGGGCGAGTGGGTGCTCAACGATAACGTAACGGCGCAAAAAACTGACAGAAACGTTAAAGGAGAGAAAAAGACAGACAAGCGCAGAGTACCAACTGAAGCTTAATTGCAAGAATGAGTCGAAATAAAGAAAGCGATCAAAAGCAAGAGAGGGCGAAGGAGGAGGAAAATAAAAGCACGAGCGACCAAAATAACAAAACCTAGGTCACATCATACATAGCCCGCCCGGCATGCAACGTAGCTTCATGATTTATCATGCAAGGTGACAGAGGGAACAAGACTAAGAATCCCTTTGAATGTGCACCGCCTAAATAAGTTCGCGCAGGAACTCTTTGGTTCTTTTGTCGGAAAAGAACGGAAGCGCCGCTGAAGAGCAGTGCACAGGCACATTTGTTACAGTAGGATGCTAGATGAAGGCCGGAGTGGCCTTTCAGGAAATGATAATGCTCTCGAAGTCTAACATTTAGACAGGGGCCTGTTTGGCCAGCGTATACACGATTGCAAGCCGGGGGTACGTAGTAGACAACACCGTGATACAGGATACACTGCTACGGACATGAATGACATTGCATTTCTCTTGTTGGATATTTTGCTGGTTTGCCAGACGTCTGTCTACTTTGGTAAATAAAAAAAGAACATCTCGCGAAAAGGACGTTGATTTGAGTATATCACCGAAAAACATCAACCCAAGAACGTTTTATAGCATATACTTATTCAGCTTATGAATCAAAATGTCCTTGATGGAGAGGTGGAACGCTTCAGTGAAATCTATTATTATTGCAAGCGTTATTTTTTCTGGGCAATATTACAAAAATGAATTCATTTTAGAGCTTTATTTGCAGCCCGTTGTTATCTTTAGGGGACGCTGGTTTAAGGTTCTTTAGTGCGGAAAATATCTCGCCCCTATTAGTGCCATACAATGCTAAGGACTCGCCTACAATATGAGAAACAACACTAGAGAGATACAGAGTGAGAATAAATTGAGGAAAAGGCAGGGAGGTTAACTAGAAACAGGGGCATAAGATTTGTTACCTTGCACTAAGAGAAAGAGGATTGGAGAAGTAAGATGAGAAAGAAAGCGACGAACAAAATATAAGCGCGAAAAAGAAAAGAAGAGAGAGCGGGGTTATATAGCCTAAAGAATAGGCTAATACCACACATAAAGTTCACTAAGGCCTTCACGGATTTTCTGTGCAAAGACAGATCGTCTCGGCTTTCAAGCTGACTTTTCTGGCAAGGGTCTGTCATCAAGGTGAGCTAACGCAGCGGCTAGCGGCCGTCTTTGCACGCTGTAACGAGGACAGTGACAGAGTACATGCTCTATCGTTTTATCGCTGCCACAATGATTGCAGGCAGCACTGAAATACGATACTCAAAGCTTTTTGTGGTCATCCAGAAGACATAAAGATTGTAAGAAAAATCACACACCTTGTCAGCTAATTCAGACCGCATTACCTTCGATAGACATTTTCGCCAATATAGGATCAGGAAGCTTGGAATTCCAACACAGAAGACCTGAATAAAGCTAATATTACGCACTCTCTGAATCAATATAAGAGAAAGAATGTCGCCGATACTGTCTATGAAACCTTGTGTGAGATTGTCAAGAAGTTTCATTTACATGGTGAACATGATCCTTTAGTAAGAACACATAGAAAGAGAAACGAAGTAGAAAGGCCAGGATTTGCAAATATTGCCGAGGCAGTACCAAGAAGATGAGAGAGGGATGATTCATTAGAAGGTAGTCAGGCCGGCTGTAGCTACTTCACCCTAGCCTGCTACTATGCACAGAAAAACAGGGAACGAAAAGAGCACTTGTCACGTGTTCCAATTTTCTCTCTTATTGCGCTAGAGCTACAGTTTTACCATGCAACTAGAATTGATGAAATAGGATGAGGGAGAGAGAAACAACCAACGCTTATATACAACAACGAGGCAGCACCATGACTTCGCTAGAGACGGCGCCCCCTGATGGGGGCACTCTTCAACGTTTCAGGACGAAATAAATTTCTTTGTCTTTCTCATATATATAGTGAAGTAATCCTCGGTAAGAACAGTAACAATGGAAGTGTTTCTTTAGAATGTTTCAACGGAAAAGGGGATACATTATTCGCTCTAACATTTATAATATTCTGCGCGAGAAATGAAACAGCAAGAACAAAAAAAGAGAGAAAGAGAGAAAAAGGGGTAGGGGAAAGAGAGGGGGGAAAGAAAACAGGAAGGAGAAATTCGCGGGGTCGTTGCGCTGTGCGAGTGGCATCGTTAATGCTTGTTTCCTTGGAAGCGTTGTGGTCAGTGTGTTTGGGTGGCGGTACATTTATGGTAGGTAGCGGCCAGCGAAGAGAAGGGCTTGCGTATTGCGGAAGTGCATGTTTAAGTAAGTCGTCAGACGTGCGGTACACCATCGTGCAGTGATAGGAGCTGTCCTAGCACCTTGTCACCGGAGGGTCGAAATTTCCTGAACCTTACACTGTGGTTTCCCTCAGTCCCATCGTTGTTTTGCGACGTAAAACCTTGGCTAATATTATTGAAATGTCTAAATCCTCCAACTGCCATATTGCCCATTGATATGAAGGCCTTCTAGAGGCACTGTTTTGGGAATGGTCTAAAACTGCTTCTTCATGACACAGTTAAGGGATAATGAATGCTGAAAAACGACCTAATCTTCACTGACACACGATAGTTTTGCAGGAGTCCCCTGTTAGGGGCGTTAGAATTTCAGATAACCTTGTGGTGCTGGAGCCACAAAATGGCAAATTTCTTGTATTTTATTTCAGCAGATGACTATAGAGCCATACCTGAACAATACAGAAGTCACAGTTTATCACCGTGCAGTGTTTGCGAACGCAGGACAATAGGGAGGGATGTGGTGCGGTGAGAGAGGGGAATGGGTCTGGTGCCAAGCCAACGGGCCGCAACGAGGCTGGCAGACTGGGATGGGAGAGGAGCATCACTAACTGAAGGTCGGGCGACAAGTTTTGCTGCGGAAGCTTGATGACCTTTATCCGCCTCAAAAAAGAGGGTTACCCGTCCTTGTGATTGGTGTACTTGGCCTCCTTTCCGCGGAGTTGGCAAGTCGTTAAATGAATGCACACTTGTGGCTGAGCATCAATGAGTAGCTGCAACGCGTGCTGGTGCTGAGAAAACCAGCATGACGGCATCTAACAGCTACACCTTATAGTACAAGAAAAGTTCTATTGCAGTACTACGGTGATTCATAACGTACGCTAGAAATTTCTAGCAGCGACAATGGGTTCCTCATCGACTTCATCATTCATGGCCGCCCTGGCAGATGAGCTGATCTTAGACCGGGATCCGCGTACCGCCAACTGGTTCCTGGGCGGAAACAGACTGTTCCTTGCCTCGCTGTTCATGGCCTACGTGTACGTGGTCAAAATTGGAGGACCCCGCTTCATGAAGGGCCGGAAGCCGTACGACGGTATCAAGCCGGTAGTTATCATCTACAATGCCTGCATGGTGGTTCTCAACGCCTATTTTATGACTGCCTTCCTCTCAAGGACATACATGGGTGGCGGCTACAGCCTGTTCTGCCAGGGCATTGACTACGAGGCCCGTGACCACATAACCATGAGCCTTCTGAACCTCATGTGGTGGTACTCGCTGGTGAGGATCGCCGACTTCTTGGACACACTGTTCTTTGTCCTGCGGAAGAAGGACTCGCACGTGTCGTTTTTGCACGTGGCCCACCACATCATCGTGGTGTACAACGGCTGCTACGGAGTTGGCTACGGTCCGGACGGCCAAGCGGCACTTTCTGTTATACTCAACTGCTTCGTGCACGTCATCATGTACACCTACTACTTGCTTTCCCTGCTAGGACCGACCGTGCAAAAGCACCTCTGGTGGAAACGCTATCTGACACAAGTGCAGGTCGTCCAGTTCTGCATTATTTTCGTTCATATGCTCATCCCACTGTTCTACAACTGCGGCTATCCGAGGCCACATATCTACGTCTTGGTGGGCGAGGCAGTGTTCTTCTTCACCATGTTCCTTGCGCTTCTACTTCAATGCCTACCGGGACAGGAAAAGCCCCAGCAGACAAAATGAGGACAGCGATCACGGCAAGAGCAAGGTTAACTAAAGGTGTTCACTTAGTCAATTCTGTGATACGTCTATAGGGACTTCGTAATTGTCGCAAATCTGCAATGTAAGGGCAAATACAGGCACAGCCGAGAAGGCTGAGTAGTGCATTAGTGTTAGATATTTTTGAATGCAAGGTGTTCTTTAGCGAACTTAAGGCGCTTTGATCAATTATATTTGAGTAGGAGTGGACCGAAATTTGTATGAAAGTGTAAGAGATGGCAAATTTCACCCCGCACGAGCATAGGAACAAACGGGAAAGAGTTGAAAAAAGCGCGGACTTCGGAAAGCTCGAGCAACTAGCTCAAGCTTTTCTACACAGGGTAAGAGAGTTTGACTAATACGCCTGCCTGGTCGTGACATAAACAACATGAACCCCCCCCCCCCCCCCCGCGAACGTTGTTAAAGGGGTATTGACACAACATCTCGGGGCCTAGATAGCCTGCGGGATCATATCTCAAGAACATTCATGTATCTTCTCCAAGATAACAACAGCGAATTAACTTGGCAGGTATTTTAAATCAATTTTGAATTTTGTATGAGTGACCGACTCCATAGCGCTATAGACACCCTCGGATGTGACCCAGAGGTGACCCCTTACTTCCTTCAGGTCACCACGCTGCGGTCAACAAAACAAGTTATCATGACGTCATGGCCACCATTTTTCTTTTGCCGCTGTTAGTTCCCGAAGTCTATATTTTACGGCGGCTGGTTGCTGAGTGCGTGGACGTGGCGCACGCTTAGAAAGTATTTTGTTTGGTGACATTCCAGTGCCGTTTCCTATTCGAAAATAATTCTTGATGCGGATCGTGCGGAAGTGCGTCACAGTTCTGTGTGATGACGTGGTCAAGAGTTGCAAACGCTAGGTGGCGACAGTTGCACCCAGTTTTTGGAACTATCTCTAACCGAAGTTGAAACTGATCGGTAATGAGGGGCCGGTAAATAATTATCTATCCCGTGTTGCAGCAAAGAATGTGTCGTGTCATGACTAACAGCCCTACAGCAACACAGTGCAGCAGAAAAATGCGAGGCCAAAGTTTTTTTGTCAGTATAGGTTTAAGCCATTTCATTCATGTGTTACACATTCGTATACCATGGTTGACGGCATGGAGGTATGCGCCACAGGTGATTCACAGTTTATATCTAGCCAGGAATAGCGAGAACAGAAACCGGTAATACATATTTGAGAGCTCTAAAGGAAAATCACGTTAGCAGCGTTCACCCAATAAGTGCGAAGAATAAAGATCAAGATCCCAGCACATATCGAACCCAAGCATTCTGATTTTTAAAAATTATTTTACCATGCAGCTACGCACGGTCTCAGAACTGCTTTGGAAAAGAAAACTTTATTCAGGGATGTTTGTGAAACGCGAATCGAGGCTGCAGCGCGAGCTATTTAATTTCATAAAGGTTACATGTTTAATATAAATTGTTAACGCTTCAGAGCACTATACGCACTTTGCTATAAGGGAGAACCAAAAGCTGTCCTGGGTACACATCACCTGCTTAGGTGAATTTTAAAGCCATCATATGTACTCCTATGAGACAGGTGTCATGTCGTGTTACCGTCAAGTGCAGTGAAGTGTCATTCACTGAAGTTGGTCGACGTAAAGCTATCCAGGGCTACCATCCTCACAAGTGTAGGGGCTACACATAAGCCTATACTTCTTCTTGTGTTGCTCATATCTATGTTGCTGGTGACATTGTTGCGGAACTGTAGCAAATTATTTATACAATTATTTATACAAAACACATGCGACTATTCAACATACGTTGGTGCATAGAACATTTGTACATAGTTTTTAGCGTCATTTCTTAACGGTTCGCTATATCAAAATGTATCTTGACTTCGTCCGCTTCACATAAAATTGATTAATATGGTACGTGCAATCTGCCGCATTTTGTTTCCTGTAAGATGGTATTTATTGAGGTTATGAGGTTCCAATGAAAGAGGACTGCACGGTTAAACACTCCAAGGCTGGCAAAGATGGCACAAGGCCCCCGCGCAATCACAGCGCGGGTGTTTTCCTATCCACTTTCACAAGCGCATAGCCGTTTATGCATGTGCTCCACAACAATATTTTTCCGTCATGAAGCATAGCTATCCCGGTGACTCACTGATTAGGTACAATGACAGAGTCGTAGAACGGCTTCTGCCGGTCGACATTCATGGTCTCGCGTCCTCGACGGTGCAGGTGTGGCGGTTGTGGGAGGGTACTCTGACTTGACGTAAAAAGCGTTTGTTATACCTGTTGATTATGAGAGACCTCATGTGTACTGATAAGCTGAGCGCTCATAGGGCTTGCAAATGAAGGTAAATAATTAGTACGAGAATACGCGGGCACTATAATATCGTCTGTGTTGAAAATATGCAATTCACTCAAACTAGTCGGGGTGCCGAAAAATGCACAACGCGACATTTTACGACTACAGCGTCTAGGAAGAAAACATGTGGGTTGTGATACTACTTGGTTTAACGGTACTCTTTGCAATGAAGGAAAGTTCCAGCCTTTTTCGTCTCTCCCATTCATTTTACGGAGGTGGGTTGGGCAAGAGTTTAAAACTTGACGCCGGGCGATAGAGATACTGACTAGAAAAGGCATGTTTGTGGAACTCGGGAGATATTGTCACTAGTGTTCATATGTGTGGTGAGAAATTAAATGGTAAAAAGAAATCAATGAGATTTTTTAGCCACTTTGCCCGAATCACCATCGCTATTTCGATAGCATGTAGGTGTTTAACAGGGAACCAATGTTGTTCACTGACGATTTTAGGGAGTGGCATGAAATGTGCTACAGACTACTTGTTCATGCATGTAAAATGAACCTAAACGCGTATGGTCACGTGGCAGTTAGCAACGACCCTGTATTTTGTGCATGTTTTGTTTGAGAAAACTCTCAGTGCAAATGTGCTGGCAAGCTCTAAAATAAAATAGTTTTGTTTTCTGCCCAAATCGGGCCAGTTCTGCCTTGTTTTTTTTATCTGCATGATAAGATGAATTTGTTAGGGCTCCGCGAGAAGAACAGACTTATAACTTTGTACTGATTTGCATGGCACGTTGTGTGATTATACAGGGCTGCAAATATTCGTTTGTTCAATATTTGACTACCAAATTGGAATCGTGGCGCTATCCTTCTTGCATCCTACATTCTTGCTGAATAGACCATATCTAGAACGTTAGAGCCTCAATCCGCCGTGATAGTCTGGACGTTGGGGCACTCGACTACCGAGCCGAAGGCCGTGGGATCAAATGCCGGCCGTGGGTTGGTGGAGCCGAACGGCGGAATGCCCGTGTAGTTGGATTAAGATTATTCTTAAGGAGCTAAGAGGCAAATAGAATTTTTATGAAAAATAAATCGGAAGCATTTTACGGTGAACCGTGGGCACGCTACAAAAAATCCGCACCGCCCTCACAATGCCACTGAAAAATGCGAAGGAAGATCTCTTATGAGCGAAAAGTTTACGATTCAGGTTAAAGCGTCAAGAAAAAAAAAAGAAAAAGAAAGTCAAGTTCATTCCTGCACAGCGATAACAGGCAATTAGGCATCGCCACTACTCAGTACAAAAACATTGCGTATGAGATATTGATAAGGCTTTCAGTAACTTACTTTTTTTCGCTCTGACATCATTCTCAACACTGACTGTCATCTTCCCCTTTCTCGACTGCCACAATTCCGCTTCTGATTTCTTACCACATCTCATGAAGTATACGATATCATTCGCAACCTGAAAAGAAGTGCTGGCCGTAATGGTATTCACGCAACCTGCGTAAAAACCAACGCTCATGCTGTTTCTGATATATTGGCATCTATCATGAACCTAGCTTTCAAAAGTGGCCTCTTTACTGTTAAATCGAAAAGAGGCAGGAGTTATTCCTGTCATCGAAAACGGTGATCGTACACTAGTATAGAACTAACGACCAATTACGTAATATTCCTTCTCAGCAAAATAGTCGAAAAACCACTAGACATTTGTCTGACGAATTATCTCAATAAATTTGAAATTATATCTTTTACACAACTTAGTTATTGTGAAGGATGTTCCACTGACCTCGATTTGCTATTTTACCCCGCCGCGGTGGTATAGTAGCTAAGGTACTTGACTGCTGACACGCAGGTCGCGGGATCAAATCCCGGCTGCGGCGGGTGCATTTCCGATGGAGGTGGAAATGCTGTAGACCCGTTTGCTCAGATTTGGGGGCACGTTAAAGAACCCCAGTTGGTCGAAATTTCCGGAGCTCTTCACTACGGCGTCCCTCATAATCATATATGGTTTTGCGACGTTAAACCTCACCTATAAATCAATCAATCAATCAATCAATCAATCAATCAATCAATTAATCAATCAATCAATCAATCAATCAATCAATCAATCAACCGCTTTGGTATTTCTAACTGCAATGCTGAAAATGCAATTAATGGCAGCCACTGAACAGTCCTCGTTTTCATAAATTTTACAAAAGCATTTGACACTATGAATCACCTCATCCTGTTCAAGAAGCTCGAAGCAGTAGGCGTAACTGGTTTTGCATTGTTATCCATAAAAAACTACCTATTCAATAGAAGCGTGTTCATTGAGGAATATATAGTTCTGAAAAGAAAGCCCAACGATTGCCAAGTCTGCCTGTTTCAAGGACAAAGCCCTCGTATTGTCATCGGGGCCCAAATTTTAGAAAAGAAACTTTTCTGTATGCGAAGATTTATCGCCTGCAACTGGGAAGCCAGGGCAAAACTGATAAGTTTCCCAAAACCCCCAAACAAAAAGTACAAGTTGTCAGTTGACAAACTGCGCATGAACTCAAAGACCTATATTTACAACATGACGACTGATGGTGTCATGCAGTTTATTCAATAGCTTACGAGCAGTGAACGCACACGTGTTTTGATACAACCTAAACCTGTTCTCATGCGTTCCCCCTTTTCAATACCATTAACTAATAGTCGGAGTATCAAGCCTAAGCGTGCTCAAGCCTCAGCTTTCCGTGAGGACAGTGATTCCGTTGTAATCGCTTTCACCAAAACGTGGCGACAATCTGACATCCATGGATGCGAAGCTCTTTCACGCTCCATCTCGTTTAATATTTGCAGGTGCGATCGCACTTATAAACGAGGGGTGGCATTTTGCTTGGCATTGAATTGCTAACATCAATCGCTATTGATACACATTCTTATCTAAAAATTATGTGAAGTGCT